ATAGACAAAGTACAGACAAAAATATACAATTGCGTATCAATATATTTATCAAATTGCTTACGGACACTTGACGAAAAATACCAGTAGGACATGAGCAAAATATATGTTTGTAGGATGAGTCGAACATAATAAATCACAAATACTATAAAAAAGAACGTGATTTTTTTTAATCAAATTTAGTAACAAAATCAATTGAGTAAACAGAAATGAATCATCGACTCGTTAAACATTCATAAGTATGCAATATTTATTCAGCCGAAAAATATACATAAAGGAAGCACGCAGTTACCTAGTGTAGGATGAAGATCGGTGTACGTGTGGTGGTGGCTATCGATAGATACGAGTGTGACTGTGGATGCTGGATTGGATACCATTTATGACCATAAAAGCATCCTCTTGAAAAATTTCCGTGGGTACGGATGAGAGCGTGAGTGCGGATGATGATAGGGATAGACAGAATACAACATACATACCCACACTCTTTTCGTACCACACCAACACACACCCACGCCCCATACACCCACACCCAGACCCACACGAACACGAACACGAACACCCAATACCCACACCGACGCCAACGCCCACACCCCACAGCCACAGCCACACCGACACACCCACATGAACACCCAAACCCACATCCACACCCACACCCACACGAACACCCATACCAACACCAACGCCCACACCCACACCCACACCCACATCCTAGTTAAAAAGACCCCAATCGACTATAACTCTATATCAGCGACATACATTATCATGGGACTTATCCATTACAAACGTGGTCGATACAAACTTGCATTAAAATATTATTCTACAGCTTTCTATATTCTCGAAATTCTTCAATCCGATATAACAAATACAAATTATGGTAAAATAAGTGATTATGTCGGAATGATCTACTTTGAGTATGGTCAACTAATTGAAGCACGGCAATATTCTCTTGATGGTCTTAAAATATTTTTCTCTCATAGAAAAGAACCACTTTTATATATCAACACGTATATTAATCTAGGTTTGATTGAATGCAAAATCGGAAATTATTATGTAGCTTTAGATTATTTTGGACAAGCTGCAGATCTTTTCTACAATCAAAATCGTATAAAACATGGCACTGAATGAATGTTGTATAATCATATTGGCTATGTTTATTTTAAAGTTGGGGATTTCCAAATAGCTATGCAAAACTATTTGAAATCATTATTAATGCATAAAAATTGTCAAAAACATCCTGACCTTGCACAAGTATTCAAAAACATTGCTTTAATCCATGAGGAGCAACACAATTATTCTCTGGCATTATTATTCTATCAGCGTGCCTTACATCTCGTACCAAATGTTAAACATCCACACAAAATACTATATAAAAGCATGATTATTACACTGAAACTAAAAATGCAGAATACAGAACGATTATGTATTGTTTAACGAAACTTTTGACTATTATCACACTTGAACGAAAAACACCATGCGAACCGCATATAGCCTACCGAAATCTAGTGGCGGATCTAGGGGGACGCTTGCGGCAACCACTCCCATTCAAAAAAGACATTTGGGCTTTTCCAAGCAGAAAAGACTAAAAGAAAAGTTCACACTACCCCTCGTATAGCCTTTAAAAGTGGTTTTGTA